TTTTCCCCATTTCCCCCACTTTTCCCCATTATTTTTTCCCCATTTTTCCCATTTCCCCCCCATTTTTCCCAATTCCCCCATTTTTCCCCATTTTTCCCAATTTCCCAATTTTTCCCATTTTTCCCAGCTCCCTCCGGCCCGGTCAGCCCCAACTCCACCCTGGCAGGTAACTCCGCGGTTTTGGGGCTTTTTGGGCCGATTCAGCAGAAATTTGGGAATTTTGGAGCCTTTTGGAGCCAATCCCAGCAGAAATTTTGGGGTTTTTTAAGGGTTTTGGTGTGAATTGAAGAGGAAAATCTGAATTCCTGAGGAATTTGGCACAAATTTAATCAGGAAATTCGGATTTTGAAGGGATTGGGGTCAAATTTAAGGAATTGGGAATTTTGAAGGGGGAATTTGGGATTTGACGTGGAAATTTTGGATTTTGAAGTGGGAATTTTGGGTTTTGACGTGGAAATTTTGGATCTCCAAGTGGGAATTTTAGATTTTAAAGGGAAATTTTGGATTTTTGAGGGGGAATTTTGAATTTTCAAGTGGGAATTTTTAATTTTGACGTGGGAATTTTGGATTTTAAAGGGGAATTTGGGATTTTTGAAGGGGAATTTTGAATTTTCAAGTGGGAATTTTGGGTTTTGATGTGGAAATTTTGGATTTCCAAGTGGGAATTCTGGATTTTGACATGGGAATTTTGGATTTCCAAGTAGTAATTTTAGATTTTAAAGGGAAATTTTGGATTTTGAAGAAGGGGAATTCTGAATTTTCAAGTGGGAATTTTGGATTTCCAAGTGGGAATTTTAGATTCCAAATGAAAATTTTGGGTTTCCAAGTGGGAATTTTGGATTTCCAGATAGGAATTTTGGGTTTTGACATGGTAATTTTGGATTTCCGAGTGGGAATTTTGGATTTCCGAGTGGGAATTGTAGATTTCAAAGGAAAATCTTGGGTTTCCAAGTGGGAATTGTAGATTTCAAAGGGAAATTTTGGATTTTGAAGGGGAATTTTGAATTTCCAGGTGGGAATTTTGGGTTTTGACGTGGTAATTTTGGATTTCCAAGGGGGACTTTTGGATTTCCAAGTGGAAATTTTGGATTTCAAAGGAAAATTTTGAATTTTCAAGTGGTAATTTTGGATTTCCAAGTGGGAATTTTGGATTTCCAAGTAGGAATTTTGAGTTTTGACGTGGGAATTTTGGATTTCAAAGGGAAATTTTGAATTTTCAAGTGGTAATTTTGGGTTTTGACATGGAAATTTTGGATTTCCAAGTAGTAATTTTAGATTTTAAAGGGAAATTTTGGATTTTGAAGAAGGGGAATTCTGAATTTTCAAGTGGGAATTTTGGATTTCCAAGCAGGAATTTTGGGTTTTGACGTGGTAATTTTGGATTTCCAAGGGGGACTTTTGGATTTCCAAGTGGAAATTTTGGATTTCAAAGGAAAATTTTGAATTTTCAAGTGGTAATTTTGGATTTCCAAGTGGGAATTTTGGATTTCCAAGTAGGAATTTTGAGTTTTGACGTGGGAATTTTGGATTTCAAAGGGGAATTTTGGATTTCCAGGTGGGAATTTTGAGTCCTGACGAGGGAATTTTAGATTTTAAAGGGGAATTTTGGGATTTCAAAGCGTTAATTTCGGATTTTTGAGGTAATTTTGTGTTTTCCCCGCCCCCCAGAGCTGTGCTCGGCCCCCCCGGTGACGGGCCCGTGCCGGGCGGCGTTCCCGCGCTGGTTTTACGTCCCGGCGGAGAAATCGTGCCGGGAATTCACCTACGGCGGCTGCCGCGGCAACGCCAACAACCACCGCGACGAGCGCGAGTGCCTGCGGCGCTGCCGGCCCCGGGGTGAGCCAAAAACGCCCGAAACCCGCCCGAAAACGGCCGCGGGAAGTTCAAAAATCCCAGCCAAAAAAATCGCCGTGAAAATCGGGCGTCGTTTGAAAAATAAAATTGGGGATTTTTAAAATTTGAGACCAACAAAAGCCGCGAAGTTTGGGAGAAACGACGAAGGAAATTGGGGGGAATTTAAAAGAAATCGACCCAAAAATCAGATGAGGGGGTCTTGAAAATGAGGTTAAAAAATAGTGGTGAAATTTTTAAAAATTGTTAAAAATTCTTCCCAAAAAATTGCAGCCAAAATCGGGCGTCGTTTGAAAATAAAATTGGGGATTTTTAAAATTGGAGACCAAACAAAAGCCGCGAAGTTTGGGAGAAACGACAAAGAAATTGGGGGGAATTTAAAAGAAATCACCCCAAAAATCAGATGGGGGTCTTGAAAATGAGGTTAAAAAATAGTGAAACTTTTAAAAAATTGTTTAAAATTCTCCCCAAAAAAATCACCGTGAAAATCGGGCGTCGTTTGAAAAAAAATTTGGGATTTTTAAAATTTGAGACCAAAAAAAGCTGCGAAGTTTGGGAGAAACGACGAAGGAAATTGGGGGGAATTTAAAAGAAATCACCCCAAAAATCAGTGGGGGGTCTTGAAAATGAGATGAAAAAATAGTGGTGAAATTTTTAAAAAATTGTTAAAAATTCTCCCCAAAAAATTGCCGTGAAAATCGGGCGTCATTTGAAAAAAAAATTGGGATTTTTAAAATTTGAGACCAAAAAAAGCTGCGAAGTTTGGGAGAAACGACGAAGGAAATTGGGGGGAATTTAAAAGAAATCGACCCAAAAATCAGATGGGGGGGTCTTGAAAATGAGATGAAAAAGTAGTGGTGAAATTTTAAAAAAATTGTTAAAAATTTTCCCCAAAAAATCACTGTGAAAATGGGACGTGGCTTTAAAAATTTGCCTCAAAAATAATTTTAAAATTTGAGGAAAAAGTGGCCGTGGAGTTTAGGAAAAATCGCAGAGAAATTGGCGTGAAAATTGGATGTGGTTTTTTAAAAATCCACCAAAAAAATTGAATGGAAATTTTTAAAAAATTACCACAAAATTTTTCCCCTAAATTTGCCCTGAAATTCCCCAAAATTTGCCCAAAAATCCCACAAAATTTTCCCCTGAAATCCTCAAAATTTGCCCCAAAATGCACAAAAATTTGCCCCAAAATCCCACAAAATTTTCCCTTGAAATCCCTCAAAATTTGCCCCAAAATCCCACAAAATTTTCCCCTGAAATTCCCCAAAATTTGCCCCAAAATCCCACAAAATTTTCCCCTGAAATTCCCCAAAATTTGCCCCTAAATCCCCAAAATTTTCCCCGAAATTTGCCCCAAAAATTCCGAGCTCTCCCCGTTTCTCTCCCAGGTGATTTCGGTGGCGAATTCCGGAGATTCTTCTCCTCCAAAGGTGAGCTCTGGCTGTCCCCAAATGTCCCCAAAT